ACTTTAATTTGGTTATGAAGAATTAAATAACCACCATTTATTTTTCTACTTCTTCTTACATTTGTATTTACTGCACTGAATTATGTATTAATACGTTTTAGTAATGTGTCACAATTACAACCACTTCCTCTTCCAGTACAAACAGAATTTCCTCTAATTCAACCACCACAAGAAGGAATTCTTTTAAATCAACCAATGGCATCATTACCTGTGATAAATTCACAATATCCAATGGTAAATTATCCAATGACTGTAGTTGATTATAACCAATACCCACTTGTAAAATCTGAATCTCAACTCAATGACTACTTATCACTTAATCAATCAAAAGTAAATTACATAGAAACAGATTATTCCCAATTAACATCAATGCCTACACAAATTACTCCTTTAATTCATCCTACTGATACTTCTTTAACTAAACTACGAACTAACTTAATACAAGAACTTCAAAACGCTTCTTCTCAAATATTAGGGGCAATTGCACAAAAATATAAACCAGGTGAAGATGATGTTGTTATTGATATAGATACATTAACAATTGATGATATTAATAATATTCTTATTCAAATACAACAACAATGACCATCCACATTCCTTTAATAACGTTATGTATTTTTATTATTTAGTAATTTGATTAACAACTATTTCTTTTATAAATTACTTTTTTTTTAATACCTCTTTATTGATGTTGCTTGAAATTTGATATTTTTTGAAAAGGTAAGTTGACTTACATAAGAAGGTAACTTATACTGAGAGTTAATTTAAAACCTTTTTACATTTTTTTAATGGAGTATAAAATATTATAAAATTATCCATATTAAAAATTACTGTGAATCAGTAAATATTAAATATCATATGATTATATTAATCATTTTTAATATGATGAAATAGAATAATCAATTAAAATAACTTTACAATTAGTCTACAAAGGTTAGAAATAATGAATAAGAGATAAACACATTAAATAATATGAATTATCAATTTTTGTTTTAACTTTAACTATTATCTTCTATTAAAGTTATAGACAAAAGTTGTTCAAAAATAAATAATGAATGGAAAGAAGTAATGAATAATTAATCAAAATAAATATAAAATCATAATATGGAGTATTATAGGAAATAATAACAATAAAATGAATATAAATGAATTAAATTCATATTATTAAAACAAATGAAATTATTAATAATTGTTTTCAATGATAATATGGTATATAGTAATTTAATTAATTTATAAGACAATTCTTTTATATTAAATTTTTTATTTGTATATTCTTTCATTCGACTCTGATAATATATTATTTGTGTTTCTTATTTATTTCATTTCTTATACTTATTAATTATTATGTATTTAAATTCTTGTCT